TTACAGCGATTATGATAAACAAAAATAGGGATGGGCGTTTTGTTACACCCCCACCCCCGTGAAACGCTAGTCTTCACTAGAGTCTACGTTTAAAACGGCCAGCTTTGATGTTGGACGACGAAGCACCCCTGTGCTTGTTCTGACATCCGCCCTTCTTATCTCACCATCTGCACCCCGGTAGACACTCTCAACTACACCGCGGCACCACTGTCGCCTCGGCATATTCGGATCGCAAATGAAAACGATATCGCCCACACTCAACGCCTTCGACGACGTGCACCACTTATCTCGCCTTGTCAAAGTGGGCAAATACTCCACCACCCAACGTTCCCAAAACTGATCGCGCAACTGCCGTGAAATTCGCCATTGTTTCCGCAACGTACATGTGTTCTCATCTGGATGTCCTATACAAGGCGTTTGCATCGTATTAGCCGACCCCAAGAGAAAATGGTTTGGGGTTAGCGGCTCTTCTTGATCCACTGAGATCGGTAGATGAGTGAGAGGCCGCGAATTAACAATATTTTCTGCCTCTATGATTACGCTTTGTAAGGTATGTTCGCGAGGAGCGACTTCTTTCAGTGTGTGACTTAACACACGTTTGACGCAACGTACCATTCTCTCCCATATACCGCCTTCCGATGGGTTGTGTGGACAATTGAATATCCATTCAACGCCTTTCGTTGATAGCTCGTCGCTCACACGCTCGCAGTCGAATACCTCGTCAAACCGTTTCGCCTCTTGATCAGCGCCAACGAAGTTCTTACCGTTGTCACTCCTCAATCTTACAGGTACACCGCGCCGATTGATAAAGTTCCTGATGGCTAGGATGCAGGAGTCGGTGGATAAATCATAAGCCACCTCCAAATGTATCGCACGGATCGTGAGGCAGGTGAAAAGGGCTACCCACCGCTTCTCAGTGCGTCGACCAATTGTAACCTTTAGAGGACCGAAGTAGTCCAAGCCAGTGTAGCTGAACGGTCTGATGTACGGCGTCAATCTGTCCTCAGGAAGAGGACCCATAATTGGCGTGACTGGCTTAGAGCGTGCAATTCTACATATCATACAGTCATTTATAACCTTTCGCAAGACCTGCCTTATGTTGACAACCCAGAATTTTTGTCTGACTTCTCCAATTGTCGCTTCTATGTTCTGATGCTTCATTTTTCGGTGGTAAAACGCGACAATCAGCACAGTGATACGATGTTTCGGTGGCAGGACGATTGGATGTATGGCTTCTAGTGGTAACCAGCTGGCGGCTTGGATCCTACCACCAACTCTTATGACCGAATTAGTATCCAAGTACGGTAGCATACTAAATATTGGACTTTCATTTGGCACGATTTGTCCACCTTGTAGTTGTTTCAACTCCATAGCGTATACCGCAGACTGAGCTTGCCTGCATAGATACGTTTCTGCTGCATCTAGTTCACCTGATGTTAATCCAAACTCACCGCCACCGGAACGTCTACCACGACTGCGATCTATGAATCTTAACATCCAGGCCGTAGATCTCTTCAACCTGGTATATGAGGAAAAGCGATTAATATCAATTAAATTTGTGTTATTTGTAAGAAAAATTTGTTTTGTGCGAATCTCTTCGTCACTGTCATGATGGCTGTTCACAGTGATCGGCATATGCGGCCACGATTCGACAGTCATGGATAAAAACTTTGGGCCTGAGAACCAGCGCGTTGACGGATTAATATCTATTTGAGACGTTCTGCGTGTTGCAGCATCGGCGACATTTTCGTTAGTAGGAAGCCATCTCCAATCACTCGGGTGAGTTGTTGAGAGAATCTCCGCTATACGGTGCGCGACGAACGGCTTATATTGCCGGTGCTTGGAATTGATCCAACTAATGACAGTTGATGAGTCACTCCATAGGACACGCGAGGAGACTTCAAGGCGATGTTCGTCGAGTATTGTTTGAGACAAGCGCGTTCCAAGAACAGCCGCTTGGAGCTCGAGCCGGGGTATAGTCATTAGTTTCATTGGCGCGCATTTGGATTTCGCGCATACAAGCGAAACTTGGATGCTCCCGCCAGCAGACACATACCTCCAATAACATACTGCAGCAAAGGCCTCCTCGCTAGCGTCTACAAAAACGTGCAACTCCAAGTTTTTTTTGGCGCACTTTCGGTGAAGTAGAAACGTGGAATTCTTACCGCAGCTGTTTTGCATACCTCTTTCCGCCAATTTCTCCAAGCAGCGGTGACGTCATCGTGCAGCGGCTCGTCCCAAGTGGTCTTGCGCCTCCATACTTCTCGCATTATTAGCTTGGCTCCAACTACCAGATGGCTCAAAAATCCCAATGGGTCGAAAATCGACATCACATAGCTAAGTACTTCTCGTTTTGTTGGCGGCCTGCTACCACTAATGACTTCTGTTTCAAGCCGTGGGAAACTCAGCTTGTATCTGAAGCTATCATCTTGTGGGGACCAAAACATTCCAAGGACTTTTTCGGTTGAAGGGTTCTTTGCGTTGAAATAGCTGCTTCTCGTGTTGCTTGCTTCCGCAACGCCGCCTAGTTCTTCCATTACAGCTAAAGAATTGGATATATACCCACGCATCTGGAATCCAGCTGCTTCGTGTATTTTGGACACCTGCTTAGCTACACTTACTGCCTGCTCCTCCGACTCGAAGCTGTCGACAAAGTCGTCAACATAGTGGTGCTTCACTATGGACTCCACGGCGCGAGGAAAACGATCTGCATACTCCATTGCGTTTGACGTCTTTACAAAGTGTGCTGCACACGGGGAGCAGGCCGCACCGAAAGTCATAACCTGCATCTCGTAAATGTCCGGTGAATTTTTATCGTCCTCCCTCCATAAGAACCTCTGCGAGCATCTATCTTCGGGCCGAACGTAGATTTGGTGGAACATCTCGGCTATGTCTCCACATACACCGACTGATCCTACACGAAAATTAAAAAGCACGGAAGGCATGGGCTGATATTCCTGCGGCCCTTTGAGTAAGCATGAGTTGAGTGAAACGCCCCCGACAGAGGCGGCCGCATCGAACACAAGACGCAATTTCCCTGGCTTATTAGGATTTACCACCGCGAAATGGGGCAGGTACCACAACCTTGTACTTTTTGTCTCCCTTTCAGCGGGTGTCAACTTCCGCGCATACCCTTTCTCAATGTAGCGCTCTATTAGTCCTTTATAGGCCGCGGCAAATACTCGATCTCTTTTAAATTTTCTCTCGATGCCGAATAATCTACTCTCGGCCATCCGGTAACTGTCTGGCAATTTGACAAAGTCGCTCTTCCAAAGAAGCCCAGTCTGAAATTTACCATTAACACGAATCGTCGTTTGCTTAAGTATGCGTTCAGCGCGGGCATCTGCATGACTTTTTAATGCTGGCGCGGGTCGCACCCCGAAACTTTCGATATCAAAATATTCTTGGACTAAATTATGCAAATCACTCACCTCCTTGACAAGTAAACACGCTGAATTCGGCGCTACTCTCTGTCCAGTCGGCCCAAAAAACTACCCAGCCGAGCTCCGTGTTGGCTGCATATGGCCCTCTATCTTCGAGCTGCATTGTGACGGATGGCAAACCTAAGCGGCAATGATCTAGCCCAATGAGTACCATCGGAGTGGCGTTGGAGAACGGGGTAGGCATGTTTGGCAATTCGCGGGTAACCAATCCGCGTAAGTCATTGCTATCCAGACTTTGCACTGGCAGATTTAGGTTCGGCAAAACAAAGACGCGACGTAACCTGTGACGCTTACGTAATCCCTTTCCGCTAATTTCGAGATTGACTACTGTGGCGGCCTCCTGAGCAGTTCTTCCTCCAAACCACTGCATATTTAAGTTGTACTCCTTTCCATTTATACCCAGCTCTTTCAAAAGACTTCTGTCCATCATCGTGATAGAGGACCCTTCATCCAACATCGCAAATGTATCGACTTGTTTACGCGGCCCATATAACGTTACTGGCAAGACGCGGAACAAGAGCCCCTGTCGATTGGCTACATCGGAGGAACAGCTCAACATTGACTCCATTACGTTAGTGGTACCAACCATCTGCTTTCCGGTTTCTGATGCAGGCGTAGCCCTGGTGGCCTTATTAGGCTCATGCAGAAGTCTGTTGTGCTTACGTTGACAACCATCGATCATGCACAGCGTGCGACTACGACAATCACGCGACGAATGGCCGCTTCTCAAGCATGAGAAACACAGTCGGTTTTGCTTTATGTGAGCCCATCGATCAGTCACGCAGGAATCCACAAATTTTCGGCATACATTGATTTTGTGCTGTCCCTTACATATTGGGCACTTACCAGAGGGTTGGGATTGCTTTGGTTCATTTTCCGTGGCGTGCAGTACTACTCGGCGACGACTATCACTTTGTTGCAATGTACAAACCAAATTTGCCAAGTCGCTGAGCCAGTTGCTGAAGTCGACAACAGTTGGGTACGGCTTAATCGCGGCGGCTTGTCTTGCCCAATCCATTCGTTTGCTAATAGGAAGCTTGCTAATCAGCTCCTCTAGTAGCGTTGGGTTTGACAGGTGCTGTACTCCATTCACCGACTGCAGGAAAACAGATAGATTTTTTGTTTTTGTCGCAAAGGGTATAAGTTTTTCAATGGCGGACTCGGAAATCGGATTAATTTCTTTAACTAGTTGAAGCTGGCTGCGTATCAACGACTCCGGTCGACCAAATCGAAACTGTAGCTGCTCCATAACACTGGCTACGTTATCCGGATGGATTAGCAACGATTTAACCACTTCCCTGGCTTCACCTTTCAAACATTTCAACAGACGTTGATTATTTTCAAGGTTAGTGTAACCATAGGCGGCAGTTGATTGGATGAACGCGTTGGAAAACAATGGCCAGTCTTCCGCATGTCCGCTAAATTCGGGCAAATCTTGAATTTTACGCGGCATCTGGTAATTTCCACCGGTTATTAACGATTGCGGAGTGTGAATACCGTTTATGAGCGAATCTGCATTTGTTATTGTAGGGGGTCGGTAAGGCAGTGCACTAAAAACAACATTTGGCTGGTAGCCGTAGTTAAGGTTGGGCAATGTTGTTGTTGCGGGCTGTGAGGCTACTGTATACACATGCGCAGGCGAACCAAATGGCAAAGACGATGATTGTACAGTACCGGTGCCACTTAGCTGTACATGTGGCGTGATATTGCATAGGCTGTTTGGCACAATATGCTCGACGGGCTGCCCGTTATAACGGGTGCTTTCATCGAACGTTCGACGTTGGTTGTTGTTGCTTACCAGCACTTGTGTTTCTCGAAGTTGATTTTCTAATGATTTTATTTTTTCAATTAAAAAACTCACCTGTTGTGGAAAGCTATGTTCGTTTTCTAAACTGGCTGACCTAGACGTGGCGGCGGTATTGAGATTGTATGCGGCTACGCCGTTGTGTGCAATCGGCATGGCAATAGCTGACGAAGTGGTGGCATTTTCAATAAAGCTTGTGGCGATCGGCGGGATGATCATAGCTGTGGCGGCATTTGCAATATGTGGAGTGGTTGATTTGTCTGGTGCAGCTGCGACGGCGTTGGCAGCTGGTGTAACCATTGCGGGGGCGAACGTGGCGATTGGGGCTGAGGCGGCGTGTATAACCACTGGTTCCGCAGCGGCGTTTGAGAGACTTACCAAAGGTGCAGCGGTGTTAGCAGTAACCGCAGGCGATGAGACTACCGGAGCTGTAGATGTGGCGGGCCTTGATGGTACGCTTGAAGCGATGGCATTGGCTGTGGCCGTAGCAGCCGTCGATGAAGTTCTGGCGGGTTGGGCAGTAGACATCGTCAACAGGGCTGCAGCGGCATTGGCTGAGGATGTGCTCATATTGCTCGAACTTTGTGTTAATTCCCTTGTTGCTTCTTGCTGTAGGCGACTACTGCGTCTCGGCGGAGTATACTGAGTTGGCATTCCAAACGCTTTATAATAGTTTCAGGTTCTGGTTCACAGTTAGGCTACCGCTGGCTACGGCTTCGCACATCAACCGTTATGTCGCTGGCCGCGACAACTTGCTATTACAAATGCACAAAATATTGTCCGATATAAAGCACTGCGAAATAAAGCTGTAGCGTCGTGAAATTAAAGGCGATGAAATATAATAGTGCCGGAT